TCCTCTCCTCTCCTCTCCTCTCCTCTCCTCTCCTCTCCTCTCCTCTCCTCTCTTTTCTTTTTTGCTTTCCTTTGACTTCTCTTTCATATGAATCCAGTTCTAACTATTACACAGGACTTACTCTGGGATTCTCTTGCTGTAGGCATCTATAGCTCCCTGCCCCCTGTATGTTTCATGGGAAGAGAAATGGAAAAAAAAAAAGAATTTCAAACATAAGCAAAGAATTAGTGTCAGTGTCATCTGCTGTACACTGGAGGGCAGGCCATTTGTAACAACAATAACAAAACACATGAAAAAAAGCTGACATGGAAAGTGGTCACATACAAGGAGTTTTGAGCAATAACAGGAGTTTTGAGGAAGGATTACATAATTTGTCCTTAAAACACCAACAGAACTTCTTGTATTTCAACTTTGACAGGCCTCGGGGTCTAACATATCACAAAGGAAACACTTCAGGGCTGTGACTATCAAATGCCTTTAATGTGAAGACACCCTTGGCAGGCCAGATCGAGCTAGGGAACAGAAGGTGGGGACTTGTTCAGGCATCAGGAACAAGTGGCAGGAACAATAGCAGAAATTGCAGGGCCACTGCCTGACATTTGTGTTGCAGATGCTAGCTGTGCACTGTGCATATGAAGCAATCCTGCCATAGAGCTGTCACAATCCATTTCCAAGCCAGGATGGACCAGCATTTTAGCCTATTCATGTTGACTGGAGTTACATTTAAATAATGTCAAGCATGACAAAAGCCAGGAAATGCAACGTTAAAGCTACTACTCAGGTCTTAAGATCAGCTATTAAGGAGAAAACAGACAGTTGGGCGAGCTATGGAGCAGGCAGATTTCTACAGTCCTTGCTTTGAGTCATATTTGCTTATAGGAGTGATCTCACTGAAATTAATAGGGCTGTCTGCATGAGTAAATGTTATTCACCAGGAGTAAAGCAGTTTCCATGTGGTCTCTGACTTACTCTGCTTTTATTAGCACAGTTTTTTTTTTTTTTTTCCCCCCAACTATATTTTTCTGGACATTTTACTTGTGGACTTTTCTTCGCTAGGCTTTGAATACTTGCAAAGAGTCCAAACACAGATCCAGCTTTTCTTGGAGAACCAGGACAGAGAGCTCCCTCTGAGGAACAAAGAAGATTGGAGCAAGGAGGCTTGGGCATTAGGCCAAAGGCACGGAGCCAGGAGCAATCCAGCAGGTCCCGGGCAAGTGTCAGAGGGGGTGACGGTCCCGCGTCAGGCCGTGTCAGCACTTGGTGAGGAGCCTTGCATCTTGTAGCAAGGCAGGGGCTACAACAATCCCACCTACACCTTGGAGAAGCCCAGCAAACAAACTTGCTTGTGCCCAGGACTGAATCCTTTGATCTCATTTTCTTTTGCCTTGCACAACTATCAGAAAAAGAATCGTGGCCCTCATTTTCTTCTTTCTAGCCTTCACTCTTTAAGATTTCCTTCAAAAGATCAGTGAAACAGCTGGAAGCAGGCTGATTTTGCAGCGATTCTAGTCTTAAATAGCTAGGTTAGCACAGATCTGAGGTCAACCTTTGCATGCAAACTAGCCCAAAGGGTGCGATCCCCATGTAATGACAAGCCTTGTCAGAGCCTTGGCTTTCCATTTGAATTTTACAATATTGACCTGACTTGCCCCATCACTAAACCCACATTACACCTGACTTGGGGTGAAGCAGGCCCACTGTTTGCTTTTGATGGTTATCTCAACACCAAAGTCACATCATGGAAGCGTTTGCATGAAAGGGAAATATTTCTTAAGGTGAACAGAACGAAGCTTGCCAGTTCTTCCAGAAAGATGAATGCCATCCAGGAATTAGGAATAACAACAGCAGCAAAAACAGGAACCAGACCAAGGCCGTGGCAATGGTTCTGCTCCTGTGCCCACCACTGCTGTAAGAAGATAGCTCACGTGCTGTTCACAATCAGCAGCAGGCTGGCAAGAAGACCTGTTGCTGCAAATTCTTGGTATATCTGGTTACTCAAGAGTCTGGGCCAAAATTCACCATAGTCAGCAATGGGGCTCTGCCATGCAAAATTTTTCAGGGGAGGGGTAGGAAGACAGAGCAGAGGGCAAAGAGCAAAATAATAACAACAAAAAAAAAGAGGTGAATATTTGATTTCGCTTGAGGCCTGATCCAAAGCTTCAACTATTTCTTACAACACTTTTAGCCTCAGACTCTTAACATGCTTCTTTCACCAGAGCCCCAGAGCTCATGGCCAGTGTCAGCCAAGCAGTCAAACACATGGAAATCGTATCAGGTATCGTGGCCTAAAGTGTGAGTGCTGTTCATCTGTGTGTCACGCACAACGTGGTTTTATCAGAAAATGATTTGAGAGAAAACCTAAATATGTTCTCCGATAAATAATTCATGGCAGAAGGGGAGCCGTATTTCTCTCTACTTTGGCATTTCACCGTGCGGCCGCTGAAGCGCAGCTTGTTTCCACACACAGCAGCAGACTCCCTTCCCAGCTCGAAGCCTGCAGCCCCATCTGGCAGATCCATTCCCGGTTAGACAACACCGACCGTATCTCCGTAACATACCAGCTACTGTCCGGCGGCAGCGAGCCGCCTCCCGAGGCAGCTGCTCCGCACAAGGGCCGCATTGTGCGCCCGCAGCTCCTATCGGTTTACTTGGAGCGCCCGCCGGGCAGCGGGCACTCCAGCAGCTGCCACGGCTCCGGGGAGACCGTCCCCAGCACCGTGCGGCCCAAACGCCGGCTGCGCTCCCGGGCCCGCGCGCGCCTCGCGAGCCGCCTCCTCGCTCCCGCTCTCTCCCACGTTCCATAAGGGCACGAAAAAGGCCTAATTCGCCCGGGCTTTGGAAGGGGCCCCAGCCACAAGCAGTGCCTCGATGCCAGCTTGAACTTGTCCCGCAGAAGGGTGGCAAGAGGCTGGCGCGTGCCGCAGCGCCCGCTGACACGGTGCTGAAATCCCCAGCGCACCCAAGACCACGTAGCGCTGGCTGCCCTCTCCTCCCTCCCATTCCCACCGGGAGCAGGAGGTGCCAGTCAGCGACGGAGAGGAGGGCACGTGCCGTGAGCTGCATAAGGAGGCATTGGAAATCGCCAGCCTAACTGCTCCTTTCTCTCCCCCACAATTCCCCTTCCCATTTATTGCTAGAAGAAAGACCTCTTTAAACTATCATATAGCAAAGGCACCCAACCGCTGTGAGAAGATTCTGTACACAGATACTTCTCTGTGCACCCGCTTGTAGAATTCACTTCATGGTCTTCTCCTAAGGGGGGGATAACTTCTTTGATGGACAAATACAACATCCATGGGGTTTTCCATTAGTATTTATCACTACAGCAAATGGAAGGCAAATAGGTTTGGCGAATTGGACATACACATTTGGTATTTTCTCTTTCGTATGTGCTCACACACTTTATTCAAAACAAAGCCTGTTTTACTTTATTGTAAGTTCATTACTTGCAAACTAGCTAAAGTACCTTTGTATTCTGATACAGGTCAAAAGAGATTTTTAAGTACATTAATGGTGTACATTCAAAATCAGATTCAGGTTTGCTAAAATTTGGAGAATCTGGATCTGCTTTGAAGGTTAATTTTTCAGTATTTTTCTCCAGAAGAAACTGATAGTCATGCTTATGATTAAAGTTATCTCATACTTTCCGTTAGATTTTTTTTTTCTGCATACAAAAATGTCCAGCTACTTAGATCAAACTTCTTTATGGCTACTTCATACACTGCGTTGAATAGAAAGTTTCAGCAGAAATAATTCAGCTATTTTTCAGAATTAAAGAAAAAAGTATTTGTCAGTCTTAATTCCTTTTTCTTCATATCTTAAAAGGGTCCAGCACCTCAGTTTTTGAGAAGGATTATAAATTTGGTAACAACAATCCTGGCGCTGAAGTAGCTATCTTGCTACTGCTTTGGGAAGAGGTTAAGGAAAGTACATGGCCGAAAAAGTATTTATTTGCCATAACCACCAAAATACACTTAGGTGTGTCTGAACTATAAAATATTGAGTTCCCTGTATGTATATGGTCATTAGCATTTTCTAGAGGCATGGTGCTACAGTCCGAGAAAAGCTTCATTGAGAAGGAGCACACTCCTAAGCTCACAGGTTTTCCTGTGTGTAAAAGTTGACAGCTAATACAGTACAACTATTCTGTATGGGCAGACAAAACAAGTGCTGGACTGGGAGCGACATGTGCAGCTCTTCTTCACTAGCTAGTGTGGATAAACCAAATGTAAACTACCCAGCCCTTCTTATCGGGTTTACTAGACAAGAAAGTGCTATTCCTACAAGTGAGGTAATACTTCTGGCAGAAATGACACAGAGCGTATATGAATGTATATGTATGACAGAATATAGAGAACTTGTTTTTCAAAGAGGATCAAGAGGAATGACAACTGCAAGGGAGCAGAGGGGAGACTGGAGAGGGAAAGAGAGAATTAATTTGAAAGCAAAACCAAGCGTTGTTTCAGTTGGGAGAAGTATCTGCAGAATCTGATGCCCATAACCATCCTCAAAAGCCAGCTAAATCACTAACATCTGTTAAATTACCTTCTAAGGTTATGAGAAGTAATTTCAAACAGAAGAGTTAAGAAACATTACGATTACAAGAGCTCTCAGATTGATCTCCTAATGGTTCATTGAACTACGCCATTGTACATTGAGCTGATTTCCAGAAAGCTAATACTGCTTAACTTTCAGAAGTGATGAGCACTTGCATTTCCCATCCAATTTAATAAGGAGTATTATGTACACACATACAGTCCTTCTGAGAATCATGGCTAGTGTTTTATTATTAGCTAAATTAAAAAGGGCATACTACAGAACTCACATGAGTCAACTTGACCTATATTAAATATTTTTTCCTAATTGCAATATTAAGGTAGTTGATTACTTACTGTCCTCAGGTAAGTTGTTTTCCCGCTCTTCTCTCTCCATCTGTTGGCACCAGCCCTCCATACGATCTCTCTCTGCCTGAAGAAGCTTCAGAAACCAGTGCCCATCCCGTGGACACACTGACCTTTGAACAGCTTCCAGAGGGTCTTCAGTGATAGAGTCAATCCAGGGGTCCGGAGGAGGTAAGATGGATGGATCAAAATCTGTATCAAAGTCATCATCCACTGCACAGGCATGGTAATGGTTTCCTGACCCTTGTATGCTAACAGTGGAAGTGCTGGCATCTCGGGAATATTGTCTTGATATTTGTCCAGAGCACGTATTGTCCTCTTGCGGGTCAATTATTTCAAAGTTCTCATGGAAATCCAGGTCTGCTTGCACAGCTGTTGTGACACTGTTAGAGCGTGTAAACCTGCGAAAGCTTGGAGAACACAGACATAAAATCTTAAGAGAGGCTCCACTAGGTGACCTGGGATAAGTTAGTAACGCAATAAAAGTGGATTTGTTCAGTCACTTAAGACTAGCAATTACTGCTCTCCGTGCTACACTGTGCTTTTTCTTGAAATTTAAGTTCTTTTCTCATTGGAAGCCAACAAATAAACACATCTCTGTTTTTTTTCCAAGCAACTCCACTGTTTATTGAGGCAAGTGTCCTGATGGTTGTGTCCAAGACACAGCTCCAAGAGACAGCTAATTGTAGCTCAGGATCAAAGAAAACTTAAAGGGGCCTGACTTTGAGAAATGATTGAGCTTCCAGCTTTTAAAATTCACACTGTAGACCCCCAAACGCAAGTCACATTTAAAAATAAGAACAGTCTTTGCTTCCCTCTCAACAGAAACTGACGAGAAACTATTACCAGTGAATTCACTATCTACATTATATTATACTGTGCATTTTTAAAAAGCTATTTTAACCTAGCTAGAGGTTTTATATTACGTCTTCAGAATTGTTCATGTACCCAAGGTATACGTTTTCTGAAAACACCTCTGCCTTCCCTGACAATTTTAATGCTGTTTCCAGTGCTGAATTTTTTTTTTCCATACTCAGCCCTCAGCCTCACAATACTCTTCTCCTTTCCAGGCAAATGAGCATCTTCTCCTACTGTCTATGCTTCCCACAACATGCTGGCTGCTGCACTGTAGGTACCTTCCCTTCACCAAGCATTGCTTGCACATGTTGGAGCCCCTGAGGGCAGAGAGCAAATCTTTAATTACTTGGCAGAAGCAGACAGAAAGTGGGAGAATGCAAAAAAAAAAAAAAAAAAAAAAAAAAAAAAAAAAAAAAAAGGAGGGCAAAGGCATGAGCATAGGTGAGATTTGGGGTTTTGGTTTTTGGTTTGGGTAGTTTTTCTTTAAATAAACAGCACCCCAAATTCTGAAGTTAGTGTCATCTGAGGGGAAGAGGCAGGAAGATTAATGGCTGTGATGTGGGGCTCTGAAAATGGGAGAGCAAAGCAAAACGGGAGGTGGGAAGGGTTCTCCAATGAAAACAAAAAAAAAACCAAAATAGACCAGATCCACTGCAGAAGACAGCTCACAGTACCTTCTCAGACAAGCAAATAACTGGCAAACTTTAAAAACAGTCTTTCTGTGTGTATATATATGTCTTTCTTATATATAATAGCCCAGATTACAAAGATTTTAATGTAACAGCTGCTGCTCGTGTTTCTTTTGAAACAGGTGGTTGTTATATGATGCAAAAGTCACAGTTATGCCATTGTGGCTTCGTGCGATATGCACCATCAGAGTGAGAAACAGGGAGCAAGCAGAACTCTCTGGCTCAGTAGTATTTATCTTTTGACAAGTAGAGCAAAGCATTTTGCTATGGACTGACATAGCAGAAAATAAGTTCACAGGGGAGGACGAGGATAATTGGAGATGTGGTATGGTTCCATTGAAAGAAACGCAGTTCTTGGTTGAGAAAACAGATGGCTGAGGAGGGATATGAGATCCATGAAATGCCGAGCGAGGTGATGTTTCACCATTTCTCAGAGTACAAGAACTGGCGGGAAGGAAGGCAGCCAGTTGCAAGGCTTAAAAGTTTAGCAAAAGGAAGTATTTTTCCACACAATGTGTAATTAAATTGTCACAGGGTATCAGGAAAACCAAAGGTAAAAATAGGTTCAAAGAAAACCTGAGCACATTCACAGGAGATGATAGGTCCAGGAAGAGCTGCTGAACTGATGTCATATCTGGCTTCGGAAATCTCTGTGCTAAACTGGGAAAGTCTACTGGGAGAAGTATCACTTCATGCACACCCTACTCCTTTATAAGTTTCCTAAGTATCTGCTAGAAGTCCCTGGCTGTGAAAAGCTGTTAGACTGGTACTGCTGGTTAGAAAGACCCACGCTTTGGGCTGATCACACAAAGGAAATCGTTTGGACCAGTCCGTGCTAGTTTTCTTAAGATTTCTTTAATTTGGCCACCAACACAACAAACGTGTGCCCACACAGACACCTGCTCACAGAGGGTTTCATTTTACTCATTGACAAGGGTCATAGAAAGCCAAGCCCTAATTAGCCTATATTCTCTTTCTCCCTTTCCAAGGTACCAGGGAAATGCAAATCCATTCATCAGCCTCGTTCTTCTCCATGCTTTTAGCTCCTCATCCTAACCTGCCTTCACTCTCTGTGTGTCCTATCTGCTAATAGGCATCTGCTTGTATTTCAGTTAACACTTGGGCTTTTCAGTGTACCCCAAATCCCCAAGGGGAAAACACCAAGGTCTACTTACCAAGGTGATGTACTGCTGGAGGCACTGCATTTTGAACCTTTGAAGAACATACTCTCATTGGTTTCAATGGGTGCTAGTACCACCAAAACCGGACTGTGCTCAGCAAATACAATGGATCATCTACCTTTTTTTTTTTTTTTTTTTTTTTCTTTTAACTTTTTAAGATCTATATAATAGTATGCTACAGGGCAATTTGACAGACTATTGGCAGTGGAGAGTGTAACCTTTCTGTCTGAAAACAACTTGGCAGTGGAATGTAGCATCAATATAGAATAAAAGAAAAATACTCCTAAAGAAATACATGTGGAATGAAGTGGAAATGCAGGAAGAAACCCACTATCTAGCTGCCTCCAGCATGCCTATATAAACTACCTAATAGATGGTTATTTTGGTCTCTGACATAGCTTCCTCATCCACTTCCAGTATGTTTCATCTTAAAAATACCATTTGTGTCCCACGTGTCTCTTTCATTAGCTCTCAGTTAGAACTCCACGCCACAAGAGAGCTGCTGAATCTCCGAAGCTAATGCCTGAGTTTTCACTATTTCTACACAGACAAAACATTCACATGTCTACCTTAAAAAAAAAAAAAAAAAACATGATTTGCCACACTGTTATGGTAAATAGGCAAAACCAGAGACTTGCTTCTTCCTCTGCTTTCAGGCTTGGCTCTTTTGAATTCAGTTGTGCCCTGAAGGCACAAGGTGTAATAATTGCAACTTCAGAGAAGTACAGCAGATATCTGGCCTAAGGTGCAGAAAGCCATGAAACCTCAGACTGGATAAACCAGTATGGAGAACAGCAGGATGAAAAATGTTTTGAACATCAACAACAGGGTCACTTGTTAGCATTCAACTCTGCTTCTTAATATAATGATTTTTTAAAAAAACATGCTTGCATTTCTATCTTTCTTAAAAAAAAAGGAAACAAAAAAGAGGAAAAAAGAGGAAAAAAAAAAAAAGGAAAAAAAGGAAGGAAAAGAGGAAAATGGTTTCCAAGTCAATTTAGGCATGGAAAATCTCAGTAGCACTTATATCAAATTCAGCCTGCCTGATTTTATCTACTGCCTCTAATATTTCTTGGGGGTTTGTCCAGCCAGGTTGCAGAGCTGTCAGCAGAACAAAACAAACTGCAGAAAGAGTTAGCACACACATTGACATGCATGTCTTCTAATGGAGGGCTCTTCAGCCATACATCATCAAGGACCTGTGTCAAACAGAAGCATAGACTCTCCATACTATCAAACTACAGAATCTTATGGGTTTTATTCTGTCCCTCCCCCTCTGCCATTCACAGAACCTTTTTTCATCCCTCAAGGGCCTTAACAGGGAAACGCTAATCCTCTATTGTGGTTCATGTTACCAAAATCCTTCAGAGTTTCTCAGTGGAATGCCTTTCACCCTGCAAAATATACAGAGCCAGAAAAGCTGCACTAAAAACTGAGTTAATTTCAGCTCCAGCTCAGTGAGAAAATGTAGGTAAGACTCTAAAATCTGAGTGTTGGCAGAAAACAAATGTCACCAAGTCCAAAAAAGCTATCTGAAAAAAAAGGAAAGAAGAGGATTTATTTTTTCTTTATGAGAGTATTTTTTTAACATCCATTTGCCACCACTTCAAATCATTTCACTTTATAGTCTTTTCTGACTATGCTTTTGCTTTTTTATCATTAAAACTGAAAAACAACATGGGTGTCATTCCTCACTGGGAGAGGCCCAGCATGAAAGGGCTTTAACTCAAATGTTAGGCAAAGGAGCTTCACAACAGGAGCTGTGCACACCTTCCTTTGCCCAAGAGAAACCGAAGAAGAGGTAGGAGGTAAATGCATAAATAAGCACGTGGCCTTAGTTTCGTATGGCAGTATTCTTAGTTCACAAACTACCATCATTTCAGTATTCATAAATCCTCTTAATGTCAAACTGATTATAATTAGCAGTTGACAGAATAGGGAGCAATGGGCAAGGCACTTTTTGGGGTGTGCATGTAATAGAAGGAGATTTTGAGGCACACAAGGTGCAGTGCAACGGAGACCAAAAGCCATCACAGAGCTATGGGACTGAGAGCTTAAAGGATCTGCCCTTTAATCAGTAAGGATGTGTGTTAATTGGCCTGGCACAATAAATGACTTGTTCTTTTCTGGTTCAGTAGAACTGGTTGACTTACAACAATTCAATTATGCTCTATAAGTGCGGAGGGAAGGTGATCCCTCGGGGTCAAGATGGAGTCACAGGTAGAGAGAAATGACAGAGAAGTGGAAGTGCCCTGAGATACCTCCAGTAAGAGCCATAAGAAATACACTTTCAGCCCCTGGAAGGGGTGGGTCATGTGAGGAAAGTGGAGGAAGATATTATTTAGACTTTTGTTAGTACCATGTGGAAAATCAGATAGAGATCAGGAAGAGAGTAACAGCAAGAGGATCAATAGGTTACTGCTGACAATAATTGATAAAAGTACTTCTTTTTGCAAGAAGGACTGGACAGAGGTAATCTATAAATGCAAGAAAATGCAGAACTGGGCTTAGAAAACACCTAATGCAAAAAGGAGAATTGAGAGCAGGCAGCATAAAGAACCAGGGAAAAGATGAGTAGCAGTGATGGGTCCAGCTGTAATATGGTCAGGTAGCGCTAGGCACATTTTTCCCTTGAGCAGTGCAAGAGGAGGAGGAGCAGGAGAATTCAGATTCATTTGTCTTGGCAGAAAGCCCAGGTTACAGAGTGAAAGGCTAATGAAAGGTCTGAGTTGAGATGGAAGATGGAAGAGATAGAGCTGTGCTCTGAGGATGCTATGGTTTTGAGGAGTCACTTAAATCAAGACACGGACGTGAAATGTTTTGCTTACTTGGTCCAAGCACAGAAGCAGGAATATCTAAAAGGACATGAGGAGGTAAGGCTCCTGAGTGTGGGGATGACAGCTGTATGAAAGGAGGGAAAGGGGGAGAAAAGGACAGCAAGGGACAGCAGTTAAGGAGAGGAGTGAAAGAAATTTTGCATGGAAGGCTTTCCGTGCATTAAGCGGATATCTTTGATGATTTTTAGTAATACATTTATACCTTAGACTGGCATAGGAAAATGATTAATTTACTGTATTTATCCTCTTTGCTATGTCATTCTTCTTATCTTATATTTATACAATATTTCTGAGTGAAGTTTTTTTCTTTAACATTAATTTATCAAAGATACAACTCAAAAGGGCTCCTCAGAGGTTTTGCAGATGCCCTGTATTTACAATTCTATTCCTGTAACAGATGATCAATACATTGTACTCTGCTGGGGAGGGAGAAAAAAAGAAAGAATATGAGTGCAAAATTGTGCTGATAAGCCCTTTGTGTCCTGAGTGCACTCATTTTCTGAGGATTAGGGGCTGCCCTTCATCAGTCAGCTCACTTCTGAAAGTGCATGATAGATTGCTGCTTGCCAGGCTGCTCTAAACAGCAGCAGCCTCAACTTCTATCAGCAAGGAATGCCCTGAACTGTCATGGGAAATGCAAAAATAACAGGCTCTGTAGGGCAGACCCTGGCAGACAAACTGTACCTTATGCTATCAAACACTAAAAACTGCAATAGAAAGAGAACTTTGGAAGCAAGGTATTTACAAATAGCTATTTCTTTCCTTTTTTTTTTTTCCCCCTTTTTCTTCTTGTTTTTTTGGAGGGAAGGAGGATGGGGGTTGGGCTTCGAGGGGATATTTCTTCCCTTTGTGCTTAGGCAGAAGGTAAATGGTCCTTCAGCATCTATTCTAATGCACTCATTTATCTAGGCTGGAAGAGTTGTGGGTAAATGGGGCTAAGGTCTAACACATAAAGACACGTCTGTCAGAAGGAGATGTTTTAGCAGGTTAATGAGGAACTTAGTAACAGCCTAACAAGGTCACTGAAACTTGCACTTATTTTTGCTGAAAACCCTTTAACCTTCTAAAACCATTGGAAAACACTCTCTGCAGACTTACAAACAGAATTTGCTGAATTTAAAGTCGCGTAGGTAACACGTTATTTTTTGTTCTTATAGCAGATGTGTAAAAAACAAGCGTAAAAAATGTGTTTGTTCTGTACTTGATACTACTGTTGGCAGGCCAGAGGAGGGCAGAGGGCCCTAATGCTGCCCTCAGCGCTGATACGCCGCGCTCGGGCCTTCTCTGCAGAGCTTGCGAGGGGGGACTTTGCTCTCCCTGCCCGCCGGCCTTCCTTGCACAAGTTAGTTATGGGCAAAATGTCTCCAAAGGCTGCACTGCGCCAAAAGGAGTCACTGAGTCCTGTTTGGGGCAGGAATTAGGCTTTGCAGATGTGGTAAGGCCCTCAGCAACTTTATTTGCCTGTAGCGTGCCCTGCACCTTCACATTGCCCTGCAAAGGGGCTGCCCTCTGGCAATCTGTCTTCTGTAAGAAACCTACCTCTTGCTGACAGCTGTTTTCTTTTGTTTACTTGTTTTTCTTTTGTTTTCTTTGTTTTCATTTTTTTATTTATTTTTTAAATTGAAGAATAGTTGTTTCCTCCTCTTTTCGGCTGGGTGATCTAATAAGAGTTCATCAAGAAACGGCTTGTTTTGCTATGCATGCAGGAACCAGGGCTCTTAAAAATTAATTGCAATGTAATTATTTACTTCAGAAAAACAGTGTGAACTTTTACTCACCACTTCTCTTCCTCTACTTGAACTCCTATGGACTGGAACTTACTGGTTGCTTTATTTTCACCTGATTTGGGGGTAGATTCTTCAGCACCGTCAACCTTAAAAAACAACCAGCTAATTAGGATGTGCTTTAGGGGAGGTATCACCCCCATATTTAGTATTTCCATGTATGCTAACTATAAAGTGTCCACACATACGACTTGTACGGTTAACTACCTTGATACAGTCATAGAGCTTATATTGCATGTTCTGATATAATTATGAATATATATTATGAATATTCGTGATTCTTGATAGTCTTAAAACAGCTTTGTTGAGACAACAGTAGGCCTACAAAGTGCAGATGACATTTATCCAGTATTTTATGGAGGCCGGATGCTCAGATTTGTCAGAGCCTTCGAAAAGCCCTCATGTGCACAACCTGCCTGCTGTGCACAACCATTTGATTGACTTTACCAGCTAGTTTGCATGTGTCTGTCTGTGAAGTGATGTCAAAATTATGTGTTTATTTAGCTTAAACATTAAGTATTCTGAATCAGGATTTAAAGAAAGCAGATGCAGGGGTTGGCTGGCATTATCTTGAAGTTAAAGTTTAGTCACAGATGGGCCTTTAACTGAGCAAAACCACAACATTCTGGGTCCAACCAGCGTAGCTGCTAATTCCCAATGTGGGATTGTTAATCTTCAAAAATAAAAAAGAAAAAAAAAGAAAAAAAAAAAGCCATCACGCAGCATTTTTGGATCACAGTATTGGTACAAGGTGACCTGTGGATTTACTCTGACCTCAGGCACAAGCTCCAGCTGCAGCCAGCACCTGGCACTGCAAATGCTCTGGGGTGCTACTAGGAAAGAAGTTGGATGTTGGTACAGCCTTTAGCAGCCCCGTGCAGAAGTGATTTCATGATTTCAAAGAACTGGGGATGGGAGTTACAGAGCTAATCAGTGAGTACCCCTGCCTGGTACTGAAGTATCTGGGGAGATCTTTACACCCTAAATCCAGCAGTTATGCAAGTCTAGTTAGGGGGAAATCCCATAACTGGCAGAGAAAAGTAACCTTTCTGATGGAAGCATTTAGTTTTTTGTTGTTGACCAGATCTACTGTAAAGGCTTACAGCATCCCAGCAGTGTCAGAGGGAGTCAGAGGGTGCACGAGAGGTCCATCACAACTGCACGTTAGGTGTATTTACTAGAGAAAGATGCAAACCAAGCCTCTGGCTAATGTGACTTGCATTGCTCTACAGAGATGGGCCAAACTAGAAGTACAGCATCTACCTGGTCTAGTTCAGTCTAAGCTCATCTAGTTATTGTCAGTGGAGGGAAACTGACTTCATGCTGCCAGTCTGAGCACTGAGACACTACCTACATGTCTTAAGGCTGCTATTTCTAAGTCATTTCTGGCAGCCAGAGCAGGGTCATGGTATTTCCTCACCCACACTTGCCCTTCAGCTGTTGCAGCACAACTGCTTGCAAACTGGACTACAGAACAGACTGGCAAACAGTTTTGCTTGTTCATGAAGCACTGCTGACAGCGCTTCCACTGCACACAAACGCACCCTTAAGACACCTCTGCTAGTTTCTACACACCCCTATCCTGGCAGCTCTTTGCATATGATGCCCAGTGTGGAGCATGGATGCTGATTATGCTGATCATCTGTACCTTTCACAATTTTACAGGTATATTTTCAAAAGCTTGACCAACATTTTGAGCTTTGCTTTCCTCAGCTCTCAGAAGCCAAGCCCTTTGTGGTAATTATTGCCCTTCCACGAAGAAGCATGAGATTACTAAAGTCACAGTTGCTCCAGAAGCTGCCTCCTGGCATGGCATACTTCTGCACACCACCTCTCACCAGGCTGATGGGGAAATTTCAGAGTAAATTCTTAGCCTTTGTTAATCAGATAAGCCTGTCCAGGCACATGGGAGGTTGTAAACACAACCATCTGCAAGAAAAAAATCCTGTCTTTTCACGAAGGCTGACTTCGTGAAGGCTGATAAGCTGCAGATCACCGTGCTATTTGCTTAGGATTCATCTCCCATCAAAACTCATGTTGATTCTCAGCTGATGGAAAGTTCACGTACTTTGTTGCAGAACCAAATCCTGCAGGTAGACAGCCTCTCTCCTATACACATTCTTGCAGAGGGGGCATGGGAAAGACTAAATAAGATTACAGATTAAATTGGTCTACTTTATTTGCTCCTCTCCTTTCTGTAAACAGGAGTGAGCCCTGGCTGGGTTGGTTTTCTTGTTTCACTCCACTAGAGGTAACAAAATGCAATTTTCTTTAACAAGGGCAAATCAGAAGGAACTTATCATCCCGGCTCTTGAGGCTGAGAGAGGAACAAAGGCGCCTCATTCAAGTGGCTACCAGTCATTATGAAATGCATGAATAAGCAGTGACAATTAATTCAGTGAGACCGGACGAAAATATTTTTCGGGTGATAGTGTAATGTAAATCATTGTTTTACACATTCCCTTTCAATGATTTAATTCATGCTTTTCTGACCCCTGCTGTGTTATGATTCATAGATTAGTGCTCATGTGTGTAATTTAACAAAGCTGAATAATAGGCAGTAAGGAGACTTAAACAAATCCTTTTTTTTTTTTTCCTGGTGTGTATATGATAAATTAGTTAAACATCATCAGTACCGTGCAGAACTACTGGCCTACTGCAGCTTCTATACAGGCACCTGTCAGGAAAAGGAGGAAAATACATGGAACACTGAATAACTGAACAGCGAAAGAAGTGAAGAAATCCAAAGCAATGGCAAATTATAATCAATTTATAATGTACAAATTACATTACAATCCAAATCCTGTCCTGTACCTGTATTCCAATAGATAAACATCTGTTCTTCTTGAAGTGGTCCTTCTTTCTGTCTTCTACAGCAACTGTGGCAATGGTGGTGGTGGTGGTGACAGTGGCAGTATTGTTTCCTACGTGTTGACTGGCTGGGCCATGGATCTGTGCATTGGCAGCTTCAATGGCAGCTGTTAGTGCCTTCATACTGTCCAAGCTCTCTGTGGAGTTGCTAAGTCCCGACTGACTGATGATATCTCCCCTCTGTCCATGCCCGTCCATATACGCGTCCTGGGCAGACTCCGTGCTGCTCTGGGCCGTGATGGAAATGAATGGTTTGGTGGTAGTTCTCGGTGGAACTGGAGGTGGTGTCTTCTTATAAGTGGTGATGCAGGATGATACTGGAAAAAAACATATGAGAGTTCTTGATTTACTGAGCTGACAGAAAAAAAATGATCCCAGAACATCCCTGAGCAGGAGCAGGGCCAAAGAGTTGGCCAAAGCTGGCCAAAGATTTTGAGTTGGCCAAAGAGCCCCAAGCAGCTGCAGTGACAGCAGCAGGTTCCTGCCCTGCTCACCATGGCCCCGTGCTCCTCCTGCTGTGACTGGCAGAATTGCCAATGGAGGGAAAGATAAGAGTGATTTGCCAACTTCCTCCTTCATCTTTTTTAGAATTGTTTTCTTCAGCATATTTATTACTATTTTTTTTAAGTCCACAGGTGGACAAGCCATTCCCCCAAGTCTTCATTCTGATCATAGTTTGTAATCAGGATTCACAGCAATCAGCCTCAAATATCCCGGCTACCCTGTTTTTCATGCAGTTTTAATGAAATCATGTTTTCTCTCTCTCTCTGTCCTGCTCTTCTGTGTTTACCAAGTTTAAGTAGAATCTTAAATCACATTTCTTTCATCAAAGAGAGATTCCAAGACCATCCTAGGTCAAAATCTGCTAACAATAATTATATTTAAACTTCTGTTTTCTCAGTATAAAATGTGTCGCTTATTGCGCAGACCTCACAAACACTCTGAAATATGTTGTAAGCTGTGGAAGACATTTTTCAAAGAGAACATTTTACCACTCAAATTCTCTTTCTAAATATAACATGTCAGTTCTGGGAAAAAAATCTGCTTCATTTTACACACAAGAAGTTTCATAACCAGATGAAGCCTGTCCATTAGTGGGACTACTTAAAAGAACATGTAAGTGTAAATGTTTGCAACAACAGAGGCTTTAATCATTTGTAAGGACTCATCTTTTCATGGGAACTTGCAGCTTTTGTATTTTGAAGGATACATTCCCTTTTTAAGTGTTTCTATATGAATTTAGAAGCTGAACTTGAAGTTCCCACACTTAAGACCGGTGTGTACAGAATTACATGCAGAAAGCACATGGAGATAAAACCAGCTTTTAAGGGCTAGTTGGCGGCTCTACATTTCTGACATCCTGGAATGCTTTCAAATGAGGAAAGAAAGTTCACGAAGAACAAAAAAACAATCGTGAAATGCTGCAGTTTTTTAAAGAAACCTGTACAAAGTTCAGACACAAACATGTTAACATAATTCATATTAACCGTAATCATATGGGAAGAAATGATTCATCAGATCATTTTAATTGGCAGACGTCTGTACCACCCACATGAAAGGTAACAGTGCTACAGCTGTTCTGCTGTTTGCACTGCATGTACTTGTTGAGCCAGAATCCTTTATGGTATTAATTTGACTAACTCAGATCCATATGCCTCATATCTCCCAATAGCTGCAGGAATCGTTACAGTGTAAAAGGTGTTTCCAGGGCATGAAATCACAGGGGATTTTTTTTTTAAGGACTCTAGTCTAAGTTTCTGATAACATGTCTGAACCCATGTAAAACACGTTAAATGCTAATGTGAAAAAAACACATTTCACTAAGGCAATGAGGATTTTCAACATATGAATCACTTCTGAAGTCTCAAACAGAAACCACAGCATCTTTGAGAAAAGAGATGGGCAGAAATGAGCTTGTCAGATTTGAACTCCTGGGAAGTTGAAAGTCTATAGGGGTTAAAGGTGTTTTTTTTAAGCGCTTATATCAAGCAAAATACCTGCAGCGATGTGAACCACATACATACTCCTATATTTGTGTCCTGCTCTGGGAAACCTGTCAAGAACTCATCTAGCAGAGGTGTGCAATGAACTTTGCTGTGCAGGGATGTACAGACTGTCCCATTTCAGACATACTAGGCAAGGTCACTGCGAAGCTTGGAGGTAACAGGGAGACACTGCCCATACAGAGTGGTCTGATGAAGACGCCTTTCCTTCTGCAGGTAAACGTAGCCGGTACGGAGCTGAAGGCACCTGGCAAAGAAGGATGTTTGCCTTTAGCTAACTAAATCTCAAGTCATTCCACGGACAGCGGGGGAGAATCGACGTCGTGAGAAGTCGTCACAGGGCGGGGCATGAAGGGAGACGGCAAACAGTGTTTTAGCAAGTCAGAACAAATCCTCCGCGTCCCGGCGTCGCGCGGCACGCACGGGGCGGCCCTGGCGGAGCAGGGCCTGGGCACCTTACGGCCTGGGCACCTCACGACTTGAAGCCACGTCAACACCTCTGCACAGACCCCAGTGCAGCGGGGCTCCAGCCCTGGTCGTGGAGCTGGCCAAGCTCTTCAGGACCTGGTGGGAATCATTGCAGTCCGCTCGGTGCATCCCTTTTCCCCCTGCGCTTGTGAGGACCAGGCAACTCGTGGCACAGCAGCTGGAAGGCACTGCATGTTGCTGTCTTGGCCAGGCCGAGAGCTGCATCCCACTCCAATGGGAAGACGTGTCATTCTGTTCTCCTGTGCTCAGGAGGTGGACTCTGGGGTAGACCATTACAGCAGGCTTGTGGGATGCACGGGGAACTTCCAAGGCTTTTTGCACTTGAAATGTAATTCACATCAGGAAGCGAAGGCAAAGGACTATAAATCCCCTAGCAAATACCTTCCTGGACATGGCTCAAGGGGCAAAGTTCTGTATTGAACCCCATCTGGCTGGAAAGTCAAGTCAGCGTAGGCTGATTTTTCACTAAATTTGTTTAGACATAGAGTTACTTCAAAATCCCCCTTTTTTTTTTTTTTTTTAAATGATTAGTGGTTGTGTCCATGAGCTCTAAGTTTGTCCCAACACAGAACACACTTTACTATTACTTCACAGAGCACAAGGGCTGCTAAAGCAGGTATACATTCCTCTCCTAGGGCCTGTGCAAGACTGAATCCAGAAAACCAGTTAAATCATGTGAAAGAATCCTCTGACTCCCGATGGGCCTTGTACCAGGTCCATCATTCCTATCTGGATCAATCCACTAAGCAAAGCTCCCCAGCTCAGTTTGATCTTTATCCTATTTCTGCGGCCTGTCTTTGGGTTACAGTTTAATCCCAAATACCTAGTGAGAAAGCACTTTCTCCGGATTAAAAGTAGAAAAGTCACGGTGTTTGTCCTCCCAGCTAGTATTTCCAAACAACTAGCTCATGGGACAGGAATTTGGAACAGGGAGTGTCAACCACCCAGTTCAGAAGGAAGTCTAATGATTAAAAAAAAATCCCAGATTGCATAATAATAAAAGCTTGAATTTGAATGTTTCATTGTAAGAGCACTTCAGCTGTTTAAACATGTTCACTAGGGAGATGAGCCCTCAAGGAGCAAACAGCAGCACGCAAACACGGATTTCTAGCTCAGTGAATGGTACTCAGGAGAACCCCAAGGCAGATTAATATTTGCGAGGAGATCAAATTCAGGCACTTTGAACACTGCAAGGGATGAGATGTGTAAGCAATTCCTTGCACTAATTCGGTAGGCTTGTAGAAAACTGGTTAACAAGCTGAAGAATAAATGGAATTGCAAATTTAAAATTAAGTAAAATAATAGCCTTTCCTTGAATAAAAAGACTATCGGCACAGTTTGCAAGGGGCAGCAAAAGACACAATGCACCTAAGCAATTAGGTGCAATGAATTTCTTAGCCCTGCAGGATGGACATTGCTCTTCTGATTTCACACCTGCAGGACAGGTGTGTTACTCCTAGCTGCTACACGGGTGAGATGCCCATGGTCTCACACATACTCAACACCCAGGCAGATGACGGCCCATCCTGGCAGGCGTGAGCCTCATGACTGCATTGCCCCATGCTCCCAGAGTGATAGATGGCATCGCTTGATTTCAGAGTTTGCCACTCTCTGGCAAGATGGAGAAACCAACTGTGGTTTTCTTTTGGACTTGCATTTATTTCCTTGCTTTCTGGAGGTTTTGGGGGAATGCTTGGAAATGAGGTGATAGATTCCATGTATTTTTACACCTAGAAATATTGGGATGAAAGTGAGAATTCATTTTCTTAATAGAAAAGCTGTTTCCAGATAGCAGATAGCTTCTGAGGAAGGAGAGATTAACTATTGAAAAGAACAAAATGAAATAAAGATTTTTATATGAAATTCTAAACTTTCAAAGGGAATAAAAACAGAGTGATTTATAGATGTTGTTGTTCTCCTGTATGAGAGCTACTGAACTCTGTACCATGCTGGCATGCATTCTGTCTATACCATCCTTTGTCTGTATGCTCACCCCTGTATAATGATCTATTTTATCTGACAGAAGCCTAAGCTACACGGAATTTGGAAAGGGGTATTAACTCATAACCTAGTTATGTCTCAAGTCACAGAGACATAACTGTCTTCACTGTCCATGGCAGCACAGCCCAGCTTTAGAGTTAATATCCTAAGTACTCGGAGGTTTAAAAGCTGACCTTCTGGTAAATGTGAACATGTGTGTTTGCAGGTTGGGGAAATGTACTCCCAGCCTTGTGAAGAGCTATACTGGTGTAACTGCTGAAACCTCAGAGAGGGATGGGGCTAAATATGGCTTGTCCTGTACCTCAAGTGAGGTTAACATTGAGTGAAAAAATCTGCATATGCAGAATCAGTGGATGATAAGCAAGTATTTCTCTAGCAGATTTTTTTTTTCTTTTAATGACTGTTGTTGGCATCGGCTAATACCAGTCAGGAGTTCAAGCGCTGAATTAGAGCACAGAGAACAGGTGAGAGTCAAAAGCATGTGTTGAGTACAGTTTATCACAGGGAGATAGGTACAGATCATGGGTACCTAATGGGTAATGCAGCACCCATATCTCCTTAGGAGATCCCCTTTGCTCTGCATATTGCTACAGCTGACCTCTTCTCTACATAAAGCTGCCAGTATGTTAACAGAGGAATAATAACATAATTCAGCTTGTTAGTCCAGAAAGCAGAAACTTCTATCAGCACCTGAAGTTCAAGCAAACTTTCCCTATAAACTGAAAGTCATTGCCCAAAGTAGATCTCAGGTAGGAGAATTCAGGATACTTTACTACTAGAAACTGTTGTCTTCAGTGACATCAAGCGATTAGGCCTGGCTTTAT